ATAACAATGATGAGCATATTTCAAATGCATGACTACTAAAAATCATAATTCAAGCAGAGTATATGTACTTATATATGTTTTGTTTTAATAAAATATTATTTAAAAATTTATTATATATATATATTTTTTTCTGTGAGGAGAATAGATGCATAAAAAATATTTATTTGTAATTTGTTCACGCACACATACACAATAATTAAAATTATTAAGTAAAATAATAATTTCAAATAAAATACTAATAATTTTTATTTTAGATATATATTATTGAACTAATTCTTATTTAAAATTTTCAAAATTGCATTGATTAATATTGTATTAATTATATATTATATTAATGTCAAATATTATATTACAAACATTGCATCCTAAAGAAAATAATTAAATTAAAACTAAGCAGAAACTGATTTAAACAATGTAAATTATAAGAAATAAATAACATTATTACAAATTCGTGACAAATGTACTCAAATATTTTACACTGATCATATCATAAGAAGAATAATTATTTTAATTGATTATTTGAAATCTGTTATGAAAAATGCATATATAACATTTTTTTTTTCATTCATAAAAATAAATTTTTTAAGTAAATTTTTAATTAATACACAATTGTAAATTACTATTTCAAATTAATTACTTATAATCTAGTGGAAAAATTGGCTTTTGCAAATATTCCTCTTTTTAATTTTATTTTCTAATTTTTTCACCTATGCATTATACGTATAATAAATTGTAACATATCAAAAAAATATGATATATTGTATAATACTTTGTTATTGTATAAATAAATATATATTGATATAACATATATATTTATGCGTATGATACACACGTATAATATACCAACCATTGCTATTCAGACTCACAAAGATCTAGTTGCATCAACAATTCGGCTCGACCAACATCGCATTAATCATTTTTTTTTTCTAGATTAGTCGTCTCTATCTGTTTTAAAAAATTCCTTGAAAATTTGTATAATCAAGTATATTAGCAAGATACCATTAAGAGATAAAAATGGATATATATATTATTGTATATGGTGAATAAAACCATTTAATTTATATAAATGCGTTTCCTTTTCATTGATTTTCTTCGCGCTCTTTTGAAAGAGAATCATGGATAAATAAATAAAATAAACTCTTACGGGAAAAAATGCAAAATATGTGTATCACGTTCATGTCATCGCGCGAGATCTCGTTAGCACCTACGTGGCCAATCTCCGTCGACGACACGTCGCTCCATGGTCGATCTATTAGTGTCAAATCCGTGAGCTTATCCGTGCACCCGATATACAACGGGTAGCGGGAGATTCTTGCTGGCCCCGACGATGCGAAGGAGAATGTCGAGTGGGTGCAGGTCCCCTGTAAGGCGACACAGGTACATATGGGCTCTCCCATTGAATGGACCAAATGATATAAATTATTTATAGATTTCGACACCGGAGAGAGACAGAGACATAGGCGGGCGCGGAGGGTGTTCGAATTGGGGCGCGGCGGGACCCCTGGGGGGTCCTTTCGCGCATCGAAAACCCTTCGGGGATTCCCCCTCTCAGCATATGCATTCTCGCTTCGAGACCACTGTAAGCCTATATAAAATTGATTCCTAAGTACCCCGTATTCGTATCGGCCTCGTGTGTCTTTTAACACCTATGTCAGTATTTGCTCTCCGCGTTCTTGTAAATACACCGCGGACAGTGGCAAACGTTACGTCCAAAATTAATTTTTGATCGCCTTCATACAATGTGATAAAGAAATATAGTAAATCATTCGTTATATATATAAACAAAATCTGATTTAAATATGTTTTTAATATACTGAAAAAAAAAGTTGTTAACTTGACCAAATGCGTCCAACTGATTATTATTTCTTTAATTGAAATATTTAAGTATTTAAATTAAATATGACATATTAAATCTAACATGACGTATTTGACTTAAATTTTTTAATATTTCAATTTAAAAAATGATAATCAGTCAAGTTAACAACTTTTTGTTCTCAGTGTAGTAATGTATGTAAAATATGCGTAAATTTATATGAAAAAAACACTAAAATGGGTATAATTTTTCTTTGATTCGTAATGTTCGCCATTCCTAAATGAGCATCAATAAATAAAAAAATGTCGCAATATTTTGAGAATAAATCTCTTATTCTGAGAACGCGAAAATTTCGCCAATTATACTATATATCAAGTACATTTGAGTTTTCGAACATGGTCTTGTAACAAATCGGGACGGGCCCGCGATCGCTCAGCACGCCCCCCCGGGGTCCAATCTAAATCAATGGGCTTGTGGGTAATCGCATAATAATTACCGGGACCCCCTCTACCGCCCATCTGTCGCTGACCGACGGGGTGTTCGACCCTTAGAAGAAGCAGACACTCTACCACGGCGACACACCCGATGAACATGTCCCAGCAGGTCCCATTGTCGATGAACACCGCTCGGAATGTCGTGGAGCGCCCCCCATCATTCTTTCTAAACTACATTCGATCGTGTATAAACCGCCGCAAAATAAATAAATGCGATTCGTAAACTAATGTCTTAATTTAATTTAAATTTGCGAATTAAGCTCTTTCACATGTAAGATTCTCATATATATGTGTTATTAATGTCTCAAGAGTTACATCCAGTTTATCTAACATAATATAATAGGATGTCTACTCAAATTTTGTAAAAAAATTTCCTGAAAATTCTCTGATCTTCTAGGTATTTTTATTCAAAATTTCAGGTAAAAAAAAATATTTTTAATATTTTTTAGTGCAATTTTCTAATATAAAAGTTTTTCCATGTGTCTTCTAATGTTTTTCATTCATGCAAAGGAAAAACAGAGAGACTCTTAAGTTTCAAGTGCTACATTTGTAAATGTACTGAAAAAATTGACTAATTTTCATAAGATAAGCATTTTTTACTTGCATATAAAATTTTCATTTTTTTATCACTAAAAATTACAATAAAGAATATGTAATATTGCATATTCAATATGTTATTAAGACATTGAATATACATATAAACAAACAAACACATAAATATATATTTTAAACACATAATTTACTTGGCTTGCCGACTGTTTACAATATAAGAGCAAAATTATCAAATAGAAGATTTTTTAAAGAAATTCCCTGAATCCTAATAAAATTTCATGAGAATTCCCTGATTTTTCTAGATACAAAAGAGAAATCCTTGAAAATTCCAGGTTTTCCATGTTTTTCCACGTAGTAGACACCCTGCATACAGTATAATAAGATAGAAATATTATCTTTACATACAATAATTTATTCCAGATAACAAAATGGAGATGATACTTTTAATTAATTTGTGTCTCGGCCTAGCAACTGGTCACTTTCGTGGACCGCATCATCCTAAGAGTAGCATATCCCATCATCATTATACACCGCAAAATGAAATCAAATTAACGCAAGATTCCGAGCTCCTTCACGATGCAACGTGAGTTGAAAAGCTAACCTAATTAGAATTATTTACTCTCATCTTATTTATTTATGTTTATCAAACTATTAACTATAAGGTATCGATGATCTTATTAATTTTATTAAAATAATTTTTTTTTAATATGTTACATCAATTATATTAAAAGATTGACAGGAGAAACTAATAATATGTGTAGAGAGTAGTCGTAAATGACAGATTTGTATTACAGATTGCCATTTTATGACCGAAATGTAAAAAGAATGATATTAAAATTATAGTAGAGCGATTTTTTTATTTAAGAAATCAAAATAAAAATTCTTAAATTGATGACCCCCGCGTGTAGCTAGCAGCTGGATCAAGATGCACTTAAGACTGAATTTTGTATTTTACTTAGAACTTTTCCAGAGATATATAGGATATATTCAAATATTGTAAAATACGACTCTCGCGTATCTTTTAGCTATGTAAAGAATAAATTCTGTGGAAGGAAAAAAAGTTTTATGAAGAAATATAATCCTCGAAGCAAAATACGAAAATTACGAATCTCATCAAATCTGCACTGCTAAAGCGCAGAATATATACTTGGCATGGCATTTATCATAAATTTTTAAAAATTAAATTACAAAAGCTAGCTTTACCGCGTATTTCAGGTTGCATTCATACTAGTATTCATATAAATACAGACATTCATATATACAAAAATTTATTTCTCAATCTGATAATTCTGAAATCGGAATTTTGCATCTCTTCACCGAACGAAATCTCTAAAATCAATTTGATCCCTCCAATTCGGCCAGTCGATCGTTAAGCAAATCGAAAAATCATTAACTTTCCAATTTAGTACTCAAGAATAGAATCCGTGACTTTATTCCACAATTTTAGGCATCTGAAAGAGGACATCGGTCCCATGGCCGATCAACTCGACTTTTCAAAAATGACAGAACAGGAAATAGAGTTCCACTACTTTCAGTACGTTTGATATATCAGAATTCGTCTCTTATTCCTAATAAATTATTGAATTTACTGTTGCTAATATATTTTCGAATTATAGAATTCACGATGTCGACAATAATACAAAATTAGACGGATTAGAAATTCTTCACGCTCTTCAACATACTTTACACGATGACGAGGAAAACGCGATGCAAGATTTGTCCCGGATTGTAGGTATGTTTGAATAAAATCGATTTCTAGCAGCGATAGAAATTATATAAATATGTTGTGCGTATATGCGGATCCTTTTTACAAGTATGTGATAAAAGCGATTTTTAATCTAATCTAAATATTTCATGTATTTACTTTAGATCTAATAGATAAAGTGTTGGCAGAGGATGATTTAAACAAGGACGGCTATATAGAATACGTTGAATTTGTAATGGGAAGGAAGAGAGATCATGACACGCTAGAGAAACGAAACAAACTCAGAATCGGAACGTGAAAATTGTTAACTTGAAATATATGAATATATAATCTTGGATTATACTAAAAATAAATAAGATGATATGAAAGAAATATATTTTGCACATTGTAAGATATAATACGAATTATGTATAACTATATGCAGTTGATATTCTGCTATCAGTGTGTCATATGCTTAACTATCATAGTATGTAATTTTTTATTTTTATTTTACGTACTGTAATATATTTTACAGTTTAATGCGCGTAAAAAATAAGAAAATATAAATTAAAGAACTATATATTTTCTTTTATCTAACTCCTTTTATTATGACTTTTTTATAATAAATTAATTCATACCACATAAAGGAGTATCTGTTATGACTAGATTCTTTTCCCAAAGATCTCTTACTATTTGAATCTATAAAGTAAACATGCAGTTCTTATATTAATCATTTTTAAAAAAATATTTTATTATACAAATGTAATATAAGTAAAAAGGTAATATGTATATGTAAGTAAATATGCTTAATACCTTAATGTCGTCGCTCTCGATCGGCAATTCCTTTACACATATAAAGTTAGGATAGGATATTATTATTTTCTGAATGCCAGGTACAAACTCTGCATCAATTTCTAAATATTGCAGTTCGTATTCTTGATATTCTTTGGAATTTTCAGTGGAGTAATATATCCTATATCTTTCATCTTCCTCTATTAACCTAATAATAATATAGTAAAACATAGTTATATGGATATTTTCTCGTTTTAGATATCTTGCTTTTTAAAATGGATTATAATTTTTGTTACCTTATACAATGCGTTCTCAACAATCGTATCCTTGTCTCGGGTGTTATATCCGCGCGATTCTTAACAATTCCGTTGGTAGTCATAATCTCGCCATCTTCCGCCACTGAACATTTTCGTTCATCTTTAGTGAGGAAGGGAGGCAGAAAGCAGTGGATGTGATCTTTGGCCATTAAATCGGCCGCGCTGTCTACATCGATGTAATTCATCAAATTAGTTATCAGATCCTTAATTTGCTCTTTGAAAGCTTTTTTGTATTCTGTTGCATTCGTGCTATGTGCAATGCCAGTGTATCTTAAATATTCCAAAGGCAGTCCCTCGCGAAAACGACTGTCGGTTTCGGCCGCTCGTTTTAAGGCCTGTGGAAGAAGTTTCTCGAGCAAGTTGCACCAACTATTTCTCTGATACATACTTAACGTGACATGCAAGCTATGAGTATCGTCGATGGTCGTTCCTTGGTGAACAGTTCCCCGTGGTAAATACAGCAAATCCCCAGCACTGACAATCGTGTCCAGTATAGGCTCCCCGATTTCCGATTGATCAAAATTCTTAGATGAACATCTCGGCAAATATTCATTCTCATTAGGAGGCATATATAGCCTCCACCTCTTTTTGCCCTCAATTTGCAATATAAATGCTTCAATGTCATCATAATGAGGTGCAAAACCTTGACTATTGGGTGGTGTAAGATACAAATTGGCGCCAACAAAACAGCCGAAAAATTCCTGAAGTGTAGCTGTAAAACACATTTTATAAATTAAGAAACAATAATACAAAATTTTTAGAGAAATATAATTACAGTGTTTTTACCATTGAGTGCATGTAACTGAGGTATGAATGTCTGAGGATTTAACATTCTCACAGAGCAGTCGTTCAGATAATAATCCCAAACAAGGAAGAGCACGACCAGGAGGATTGTGAGTCTCTCTTACTCCATCGATATAAGAAGTAATGTCAATATTTTTGGTGAATAAAATATGATTATCTCTCAACATTTTATCTAATACAGATGTCGATATGATCCACTTGTAATAATCAGGTTTATTTCTTTTTATATGTATTGGAGTCTTTTCCCAATGTTTTCTGATTAAAATAAGACAATTAATATTTTAATACATAACAACAAATACATGTATAATTATACTCGTTAATTTGAACTTACATAAAAAAGTTTTTAGTTTCCAAAGGATGTACTAGCCATTCAAATAATTTTTGACTGCCTAAAGTTGGATCGGGATCACCAAAATAGATTGTACTTGCATGTTCATTTAATGTATTTTTGTGAAATTCTATGTAGTTTAAATGATTGTCATTATTTTCTTTCTTAGCATTCTCTCTTAATGTTGTTTCAATTGTTGCGATAGTTTTTCTTTTGTCACAAGTCTTTTTTTCAGTTTTCTCTTTTTGCTCCTTTATTAATTTTAATTTAGATTTTTTATGCACACTTTGAACATTATTTACTTCATTTAATTGTAATCGATTATTTAATCTTTTTAATTTATTTATCATCTTTGCAGTAGGTAAGGAACTTTCTTTACAAATTCTCAATCTGCCTTTTTTAGTGACAATACCACTTTTACTTTTTAAAGAGATATTCAAAGTATATTTATCTTTATTCTGTTGCTTTTGAGTTTTCTGTTTTACAATCATTTGTTTAATATTTTTTTGATTAGCTACTTCTGATAACAGATGCTTATTTTTTCTTTTTTTACAATTCATTTCTTGTTCTGGGTTTTTACGTTTCTTTGCATGCATAGAAAAAGCTGATACTGGGATGTTTTCAGACATCTATATGAATAGAACACATAAGAGCATAATTAGATCTGATTTTATAAATATCAAGTACAAATTGTCAATTTGTAAAATCTTTGAATCTTACTAAAAATTTACACACACGATACGCCTTAACCTCTTTTGTATACTAACTTTACACACACGTCTTTATTTGTGATTCTTCTTTTTCCTTTTTAGATATCCACAGATGGACTGTAGTATCACGATGCAGTTCTTTTATAATTCGCTTTTTTAACAAATTCTCTTGTTCTTGAGACACAATACGACAACACGTGCTTCTTCAAAATCTAATAGGCGCTTTCCAGCAAGAACATGCATGTCACACGATTGGTTATCAATAGAAAGATTATCGGGACTTCAGAAATTCTCTATTTGATAGCCAATTGCATATTTTTCTGGAAAGCTTCCATTGTTGGTATACAGATTGAGTTTTTTGCGCATGCGCGGCGGTAATGCGCTGAAATGACATATATGAAATATGGATAATATTAAAAATGTTATTAAAGTACACGCTAAACGCACAGAAATAAAATAAGCCAGTAAAACAAAGTATATAAAAAAAAAAAGATTACAAAATTCAAATTCCATGTTTTTCAGAAAATAGAAATTTAATCTCGCAAAATAAATCCACCAGTTTATTTTAATTGATTTTTTTTTTTTTTTTTTATAAAGAAAACGAAAGAGAGAAAATATTTAATCTGTATATTTTAATTTAGATTTCATTAAATCTATACTATCCATAATAAAATCTTACGTGATCTAAAAGTTTCATGGTCTAAAAAATCTATACATTAATCGAAAGACTAAAAGTAAGAATAACCCGTATGTTGAATTATATTAATTATGTTAATTTCCATATTCTGCACTCTCCATTCTTAGCCAATTTCCCCTCTTATACTGTTCTTCGTTGCTCTTCCATTACTTCACATACATTCTCCAAATCAATTGGAATCAATTGAAACAATTTTCATTCTATTCATATATGATCATGTGTGGCAAATGTTAAAAATATTAGAACAACGTAAGAGGGAATAAAAGTCGTTACAAGTAGAATGCACAATATGAAAAGGTTCGACTGTAATTGATTCTCGAGATGAAATAGTTTGTATTATATTAGATACACACATAATGTTCAAGAGACAATGTCAGTTGTGGGTGTGTCATTTAATGTGGGTGTAAGTGTAAGAGATGTGTATATCTGTATGTGTGTGTACACGTAAATAATTTATATACAAAATGATAGTGTGTAGTTCTTGAAAATCGTAATCGTTATAATTATAACGTCGCGATATTATACGTTAATATCGTACGTTCTTTTTATAATACAACATATCTTTGAGCAATCTTGCTGCACACATTGCCGTACAAGATTACGATATTTTACATTCTCTTTTCAGCGTGTACCAGTGAATCGAATTCCCCCAACTCAATGATGTTTTTTGATTACATCAAGATTTGACTTTTGTATTCAGTTATCTATATGACGTATTCCAATCACGCGCATAAATCAGTGATGAGAATTAATACCTTATAAAACATATATCTACATTTTTTCTCTTTTTTTGAAATAATTTACAAAACATTTTCTATATTTAATTTATAATTTATCATCGCATTATTTTTTAATATATTAGGCGTACGTTATCTTATATAATTACTTTTTTTTATCCGCGTTAATAACGCGTCGTATTATTTTCATGGTACGCGCAAAATATATAGTTAGTCGAAAGTCAAATATTAATTCTGTCCGAATTAATTAATTCCGTTTAACCAGCTGCTGGCCTTTTCTAGATTACATTACCGACTATAACGTAGACATAGAGAAAAATAGAAAAAAAGAATTTATAGTTAACCGAAGTTACATATATATATAAAACATTCTGACCGAGTCAAGGTATCGGAAACATGTACGTGTACATATTGCATGGATTCTTTCGCGTAATTCTTTTTTATTTTTTATTTTATTTTTTTCTCTTTTTAATTAACAAGTATACGTGCGTATGCTTTGATAAAGCGTAAATGTTCAAAATGTTCTATCCGAGAAAATTATTTCGCGCTTCCGGATTTTTCGTCGAGTCACATTCGTCCGTTACGCGTTTTTTTTTTTACGGACAATAAGGAATTGTCATTCTTATTAGTGCTCTGTAAACTGTCAACATTTATTGTCGATATTTTATTACTGGCAATATATTAACGGTCCAAACACATACATATTTGAGAATTAACTAAATATGTCGGAAACGCTCTCTATGACCGACTGTCGCCGACTCCTTCGGGCATCAGCTAGAATCTATAATTTAAAAGATAAAATACATCTTATACATTAGAACGTCTTTTGAATAACTTTAATAAAATATATTTTGTTTAAATAAGCAGATTTCTTTTTCTTAAGACTGTGTGACTTGAAAAAACTATATATAAATTAAGAATATATATATAAGTCTTATAATGTGTTGGTCGAGAGTATTCCAAGTCTATTACATTCACATCTGTTTCTGCAAATTGTCGTAATTAACACGCGCTAATAAATAAAACAACATTTTATACATCAAATATGACGAAAAGGATATTACAAGATTATATTTCTTAGATTATAAATATATAAATTTATTCAGCTTTTAGAGAAAAAAACAGATGTGAGTCTCAATGAAGTCATACAAGAGACATAGATTTAACAATATATAAGTGCGTGATTAATTATACATATCAAAGGAGTGCGTGTAGAAACGACAAGAAACATTGATAGTTTAAGAGTCACTTTACAAAGAAACAAATAGTGCGCCCGCCAAATTGGCATAATATTACACAAAATACTGACTTAATATGTAACTTTCTTTAAAATTCTGCACAATATCTCAAAATTCTGCTCTTGATATTTTGCTGTATATTTCAATTATCATTATATACATGAAACGCGATACGTCTGATTTTTACACAAACTGACCACTTTTACCCACATGATCTCTTTCCCCTCTTTAATTCTTTAATCTCGTAGAATGATATAGTGCGCGCGACGTCTATGTATTTTTTTACTTATACAATTAGGGAGAGAATTCGAACTACATCGTGACAGACTAAAAACTACGCTCACGTATTATTGTAACTTCACTAGCACTAGTGACAAATTTTTCTTGCTACAAGTGCGTTTCGAGATCACGGATGTTATCGACTTTTTCTTATTTCGCGTTTTTTTTCAGATGAAGTAATCGTCGATCGACTTGTAACGCAAATGTAATTAGCGAATGTAATAAACATAATGGCTACAAACATAACAACAGCAGGATATAATCGCCGGTATATATCTTACAAAAGTTCAGAAGCTAAAATTTAGTACAAAAAAATTTGATTAACTAATAAGATAAGCCCAAATTCAACAATTATTTTCGACGACATAAAAATTCTAAATATCTCAAAGAGAGATTTAAACTCTCAAAGAGATGTATTTGTGATGTAAAAAAAACATCGCGTATGCAAACTCTATGCTTTTGTAAATTTTTCAAATACGATATATTATTAAGACAATATACTATTGAGTATAACACAATAATAATTAGTATATATCTATATATATATTCATAATTATTATTATATATACCTACAATTAAAATACTACGGATTCCATTTGCAACAAAATGATACTGATTTTAATACCACATAGAAATATGATAGCGACACATGGAGAAAGATAAAATTAAACTCTGATAAATATCATTGGAACTTGGAACATAAGGCTCGAATGAAAATGCTGCTTGATTGGCCAAATTCATCGAGACTTTTCGCGAATATTTAAAAAATAACCGTGCATATCCGAGAAATGCGATTTTAAAAAATTGTATCAATCTCAATCTTTAGCTGCTCGTGAAAATGAATATTTCACGGCACCTGCGTGACGATTATTCGAACGATGATCGAAGATGCAAAGAGGCACACTACAATTTATAAAAAAATGTGGCCGTTTTTATACAAATTTTTGTGGTTGCCATGTTATTTTTCATCCTGCCGGCTGACTTTTTTGTAAAGTCAGATATCGAGCAATGTAAACGAATGAGAGCGAGTTACTTAATTCCGTGCTCCTAATTTGTACAACTCGATGATCTCAAGATAAAATTATTAGTTTTTTGTTAAAAATATGTTCGATTTATATAAAACTTTATTTATATATATTTATTATATATATTTTTATATACAAAATTTTTTTATTTATATGTGTATGAAAGTCGATTATTGAATTTCTAGAATTAGGAGCGAGATCTGTTTGAAGATATCGTTCGAAAGAAGTCGCAACAGGTCACCGACATGTTTCAGAACAAAATTATTGTCCGAGACGATTAATATCATTCACAAACGAATAATAGCTACTTCTGACTATTGTCTATCTTTTTTTCGTTCGCATTGCTCAATAACAAATATTTCATAATTTATTTAACACGATATATAGAGCGTTCATAATTGTTTGCAACGCGCTGCCTGTTCCGATTTTTTCGTCTTGCTCGATTTCGCAATAAATACTTCTTGTTACAAAGACTATCGATATTTAATATACGATGATAAACATGCATTGTGCAGGCGTGTGCTCAAAATAAAGGATACCGTGATCGTGTACGACATACATACACATTATTGGGCTATTAATTATTTAAAACTTACTCGTCCGACACATTCATAAATATATATGTATATATAACATATTTCGTACACTATATAATATGTGTATGTTACATGTGCGTATGTATGTACGTATATATGTGTGTATGTAATGTATGTATGTATTTATGTATGTATGTATGTATGTGTGTATACTTACAGCTAATGTTTTTACTCATTTTGACCAGGCGTGATTAAGACTCCAACAGATATAATTTAAGTTTATACTTTCAGCGCGCGGCCAAGTTGAACAACTCGCCGACTTTCGCCTTTTCGCAGCATCCTATCTCACTCCTTAACAAGTACCTATCCACTTAAATTTATGATCGCTTAATCAATTAATTATTATCGACCGTGCTTTTCAAAACTTATCTACAATCGCCTTATTTTCTCTTTATTCAACAAGCTCTCGCTTTAGTGCTCTTCTTTAGAATTTCGAAAGTCGTTACTCACACGTTCAACCTTATTGTTTGCAAACCTCAAATACGCGCGGGCGAAGCGCCAGGCACTTGTAGATACAGAAAGTTTATATAATAAGTTTTCTTTCGAACGGTGGGATCTTGAGATTTCTCAATGCATTGACATTATCGTGTTAGCGGAATTACAGATCATAGCTATAAACATTAGTAAAACTTAACTGAAATTTAAGTGTTCAGTGCACAACAGCCGTTATTTCTACTTTTCTTATAGAAATCAACATTTCTTTTAAAAAAATCTTAAAATTGAAAAAATTATATTTCACATAATATTTCTCTCTACATGTTTAAGATTTTTTTTAGATA